GCACCAACTGCTCTGGTGCTACGAACATCGGCCTTAACCCTGGTATACTCAGTTGCACAGTACTGTGCACTAGTTTTGGACAAGAAGCTGCCATAGACAACTTGTGGATAGGCAGCTGAATCAGACCATGTGCATCATGACAGAAACTTTACAATCAACACCTCACTGAACCGCATCTGAACAAACCATGCAGTTACTTAATACACAAGTGGAAAATCAAAGATTCACCTTTCATGCGACTGCAGCGAGAACATCCAAACCATTGAACACTTAATAATGCAATGCTCCAAATATGGATTCAAAGGTGAAATGGACAATGGTTTATCTGACAATGACACAGAGGAGGCCTTGAGATGGCTTATGGACCTACAACTGCATCTACAGAACGTTGCTTTGCAGATGCCATACACACACGCGATAGAGAAAGTTTTAAAAGATTTAGCTGAAGAGGATTCTGAACCACTGACATTGATTTTTAACAAATCTTGGAATCTAGGAAAGTTCAAGAGAAAAAAGGCGAATATACCAGTACTTTTAAAAGGGTAAGCAAGATGATCAGGATAACTAAAAGGGCAGGTAGCCTGACATCAATCCTGGGCAAAATCATGGAAGGACTGATATGGGATGCAATCAGAAAAAACAATTAAAGGTTGGTAGCTTGGTACTAATTAGCATTGTTTTATGAAAAATAGGTTCTGTCAGATAAATATGTCTTTTCTGAAGAGATCACAAGTTTGCTTTAGACATAATAATATCTAAACAACTCTGTAGATGTAATATTCTGAGACATTCGTAAACCTTTTGACTTAGTACCACCCGACATTCTGATTAAAAACCCAGCACTATACAAAAACCAGTATAATGCATGTTAAATGTATTAAGACCTGGCTAACTGATAGATCTCAAAAAATAATTATAAACAGAGAATCATCATAATAACAAAGGGAGCTATTTCTAATGGGGTCCGATAGGGATCTGTTTTTGCCCCAATGCTATTCAGCATCTTTACCAATAATCCGGAAGAAAATATAAAAGCATTGCTGATACATTTTGCAGATCACAAAAATAGGTAGAGTAGTAAATAATAATGACAGGTCACTACTACAGAATGATCTGGAGTACTTGGTAAACCGTGTTCCTCTGAACAATATGCATTTTAATACAGCTAGATGCAAGGTCATATACCTAGGAACAAAAAACATATGTCACACTTTCAGTATTGGGGAGAGTTGGGGGGCTGTATTCTGAAAAGGATTAGGGATCATGGTGGATAACCAACTGTACATGAGCTTTCAGTACAATACTGTGGCTAAGAGGGATAACAGTTCTTGGACATATAAGGAGGAAATATCAGGTAACCGTAGGGAGAGGGTATTATCTCTGTATACAGCACTGATGAGGAAAGGACTGGAATACTGTTGTCTAGCTCTGGTGTCCATACTTAAAAAATGTTTTAAAATGGAAAAAAAAGTTCAAAGAAGAACTTTAAGAATGATTTGAAGTCTAGAAAACATGTCTCGCAGTGAAAGGCTTAAGAGGCTCAATCTATCTAGCTTATCAACGAGAAAGTTAAGAGGTAACTTTATCACAGTCTGTAAGTACCTGAATTTACAGAAGATTTCTGGCAGTAGAGGACTCTTTAATCTAGCAGACAAAGGCATAATGAGATCCAATGCCTGGAAACTGAAGCAAGATAAATTCAGACTAGAAATAAAGCACACAATTTAACAGTGAGGTAATTAAGCATTGGAATAACTTAACAAGGGATGTGGTGGATCCTCCATCACTTAACATTTTTAAATCAAGACTGGATATTTTTCTAAAAGATATGCTACAGGTCAGACAGATGGTATGGGTGTGATGCAAGAATTAATGTATGAAATCTGATGGTCTTTGTATGCAAATGGTTACAGTAGATAAGCATAACGATCCTTTATGATCTTAAATCTATTAATCTAGATAAAATAGAACTGGGTTTGTTTTCTAGTGACCTGCCTGGGGAAAGATGCTGTTGGTCCAGAAAGGGCTCTCCCGAATTCATGAAGGATCAAATACACTTCATCACAGTAACTACTGTGACAAAGTTCCACCTCTATCGTGGTGGGTCCTGCGCTTATTGGCGGATTTTCTTGCCTCAGAGATTCACCATGTGGGTTGGGGAACAGCCCAGAGACCTTCCCCTCTGGAAGAACCCACAGTCCAGGTCAATTGGGAGGTTTGGGGGGAACCCGGGCCCGCCTTCTACTCCGGGTTCCAGCCCAGGGCCCTGTGGACTGCAGCCATCTATAGTGCGTCCTGTTACAGCTGCATGACAGCTACAACTCCCTGGGCTACTTCCCCATGGCCTCCTCCAAACACCTTCCTTATTCTCACCACAGGACCTTCCTCCTGGTATTTGATAACGCTTGTGCTCCTCAGTCCTCCAGCAGCACACCCTCTCACTCTCAGCTCCTTGCGCCTCTTGCTCCCCGCTCCTCACACTCGCACCACAAACTGAAGTGAGCTCCTTTTAAAACCCAGGTGCCCTGATTAGCCTGCCTTAATTGATTCTAGCAGCTTCTTAATTGGCTCCAGGTGTCCTAATTAGCCTGCCTGCCTTAACTGGTTCTAGCAGGTTCCTGATTACTCTAGTGCAGCCCCTGCTCTGGTCACTCAGGGAACAGAAAACTACTCATCCAGTGACCAGTATATTTGCCCTCTACCAGACTCCTGTACCCCACTGGTCTGGGTCTGTCACACTACATAAATATTGATTTCTATGCTAATTCAGAGAGCACACATTATAGAGTTCCATTCACTCAGAACGATTTTTGGAAGATTTGAAATGTTATACAGAGAAGTATCTTTATAAATGTAAATAAAACCCTTACTATTGTGGCCAGGGGGGAAAAAAACCTAAAGAAATCAGGAAATAGATATAAAGGTCTATTCCTTGACTCTACTGAAGGCACTTCATTACTTTCTGCATGAGCAAAAACTGTTATTGGCTCCAAAAAATGTCTGCCTCTTAGGAGCACCTACAGATCATCACCTGGTTTTCAGAACACAAAAGGTGATACAAAGCTCCAAGGTGGAGCCAAATGAAAGGTCAGGTCAAGACAGGATGACAGGCTATCTAGAAGGAAATTTCCTCTGCTAGATTGATATTTAGATAGATTAATTATAAACGGGAATTACCAACTCCTTTTTGACCAAGCTGAAGTACATTAACAGTAATGAATCAAAGACTTTTCAAATGTTATTATTTTTACATTAATAATAAAATTAAGTTAGAGGCTCCTGGTTGGTGACCATAGAATTTGAAGGCAGATAAGCTGCACAATGCCATGGGTGGTGGAGAACACTAGCTCCTTAAAGCCTGGATGTTCTGGAATATTTTGGACAATAGTGCATGGGATTTAAGAGCTAGTTGAATGCTTTGTCGATATGAGAGAAGAACAGATCTTACAGAACATCTGACAGAACAGTACATTTGTATCTTTCCATCAAAAACAGGCATTGTATTTTGACATACATTTTATTCTGATAGAGAATTTCTTTATACAAGTTGTTTTTTCCACATATAGAATAGCTGCTTCATGGCCAGAGTATCAATATTTTTAAACGTTATGTATTGGCCAAGATTTTCAAAAATGGGTGACTAAAGTTAGGCTTCCGAAAAGTGGCTTAATGTAAAAAATAACCCTATAGTACTGCAATGGACTATACCTATGAAGGGTTAGGCCCCAATCTGGCAAAGACTTAATTTTAACCATATGAGGAGTCCTACTCAAGAGCCATGAAATCTGAGAAAGTTTCACGATGTATCAGGACAATTAACATGCCTACATGCACTGGAGGACATTGGGACAAACCTTGGGCCATTAATTTCTGAAGTGCACGAACCTACACTAATACATTGGGGTACATGCTTGGCAAATGAAGCTCCAAACAAATTCTATGTAAACACCACATAGTGGATATACAATTTAGGAAACTAAGTCATTTACTGGAAAGAAATTTAAAATATTTGACAATCCAAGATTATGCTGAGAAACGAAAGCCCTACCTAACCTTTTATACTGTTTGGTTTCATGGAAGGGCTATTATTACTCTGATAAAAATTGTGTGTAGACCACCTGAAGCTGAAAAATGATGGCAACAGGAGGAAATCCTTCCATTTCAGAGTTGAGCATGAAGAGATATTGATATGAAATGCTTCACAGACATTATAACACTATTGAATTTGTACTTTAAGTAAAGAATCCTTCAGTGAATGTTCTGAGGCATATTACTAACCAGCTAATCAATTCCTTGATGGGCCTTTCATGTCAAGTGAAACGTATGGAATTCAGGTGTGACTAAGGGCTCATCGTGGATACAGATGGCTAACCATGAATCTCAGTTAATGGCATTTTGCTGAATTCAAGGCATTGCTTTAAGCAGGAGAAAAACCTTCTCTTCTGCAAAGAGCCTGATTAGCCATTATGCATTTGAGAAATAAGAGATTACACTTTAAAAAGCCCTAAACATGTAAGAAGGCATATCTAAAAAGAACAGATTTCTATATTATATAATTAAATAAAACTTTTCAGGCATCATTTGCAATTTCTATAGCAGAGATCTGAAGAGACAATTAATGAGGGAGAAACTCATTATTAGCTATGTAAGAGCCAGGTATTATTATTATTATGAACAGCATTTTAGAGCAGTCCCAATGCTATGAGACCAAAGGGGGAAATTATATAAAATACTTACCTCAAAAGAAATAGTTTCATAAATGCCTTTTCCAGCTACCCACTAATGAGGATGTATTTATAATACAATTGTTATGGTAGAAGATTTTTTATGAAACTGTTTAGACCCTTTTACTACAACATAACTGAACAGAGTAGTAAATTCATGGCAGTTTTTGTTTTCAAATGACCACAGACAGTTTTGTCATCTACATTTCATATATGTTAACAGTTGGAAACAAACTGAAGACATGGCACTGGAAATATTTACTATTACAGACGTACCTCTGATAGCATTTCATATTGACCTCTTCTCCCTAAGGCAATTGTAAGCAAATCGTAGACCACAGATGCACTTTGCAAACTGATGATGCGATCATTTTTGTGCTCTGGTATTCTGCTCAGTACAGCATCACGGTTAGCCTGGAAGACAACACCAAGAAGAAACCTAGGGTGTCAGTCTAATCTGACTAACATCTTGGTTCTGGTCATTATTAATACGTTTCAACATACCAATCATCACTGGAAACAAGTGACCAAACAAGATAGCAACTGCTGCTCATTTTGCATTTGATTACTTGTATTTAAACAAAAGACTGTTTGATGTCATTTTTTCACACTACTTTTTGTGAGGGATTTAATATACGAATTAACCCTAATCCAGTGTTTCTGTAACTGATATACTTTCATTGTTATGTTCTAACTGTATAAAACAGAGGAAAATAATTTTGTTAAAAATTATCTAAGCTGAAGCTGTTCTTTGCGGTTTGACTCTGGCATGATTAGTGCTTTACAGTAACTCCTCACTTAAAGTCGTCCCGGTTAACGTTGTTTCGTTGTTACATTGCTGATCAATTAGGGAACATGCTCGTTTAAAGTTGAGCAACACTCCCTTATAACGTCATTTGGCAGCCGCCTGCTTTGTCCACTGCTTGCAGAAAGAGCAGCCCGTTGGAGCTAGCTGGTGGGGGCTTGGAACCAGGGTGGACCGGCAGCCCCCCATCAGCTACCTGCTCCCCTAAGTTCCCTGTGCGGCAGGCGCTCAGCAGGCTATCAACTGCTGGCAGTTCAGCTGTCCCTCCCCCCACTGCCACGTGCTGCTCCTGCCCTCTGCCTTGGAGCTGCTCCCCAGAGCCTCCTGATTGCTGTACGGGGGGGGGGGGAAGGAAGAGGGGGGCTAATGTCAGGGTGTCCCCGTCCCCCCTGCTCCTGCACCCCGCTTACCCCATCTTCCATAGAGCAGGGGACACACACGAAAGGGCTCAGGACAGAGGGAGCTTCCTGGCAGCAGCTGCCATTTCAGCTTCCTGATCTACTTAAAAAGGCAGAGTACTTAGAGTGGGGTCAGTGTACTTAAAGGAGCAATGCGCATCTCTCTCTCACACACAGTGTGTCTCTGTCTGCCATGCTATCTCCCCTCCCTCCATTCGTGCTGCCTTGTAGAGTGTGAGGCTACTTTAACAACGAGTTAACCCTTGAGGGCTCAGCCAATTGCTAGTTCGTCATTTAACAGTAAGGCATTCCCTGGGAAATATCCCACCCTCAGACTTCACCACCTCAACCAAGCCTCACAATCATCATCGCTGTGTACCAGTATTAAATTGTTTGTTTAAAACTTATAGTGTGAGAGTGTGTGTGTGTGTGTGTGTGTGTGTATTATATAATATAGTCTTTTGTCTGGTGAAAAAAATTTCCCTGGAACCTAACCCCCGCATTTACATTAATTCTTATGGGGAAATTGGATTCGCTTAATATCGTTTCGCTTAAAGTCACATTTTTCAGAAACATAACTACCACGTTAAGTGAGGAGTTACTGTATTGTCTTTTGCATCAAAATAATGTATAACTTTGCTGATTGACAGGCTGTTGGGGTCTTCCATCCTTCTTTCAGAGAGAGTGCCATTTTCGTTCCACTTACTTCATCTTCTGAAGGTCATTATGACAGTGTCCTCTCTATGGGATGAATAAACAGTCTCTTCCAAAGATAACCCACACCAATACAGTTCAATGTATACTCCATAAGAAGGGCCTTATACAAGAAGCTCAGCCTCTCCCATCCTATTGCTCAAGCATTGCACAGAAATGTGTGCATATTGACAATACTCTGCACTTCTCATGTGCCTTTCATCTGACGGATTTCAAAATATTTTACGAAGACTAATGAATTACAACGCACCTTTTTACAAATAGGCATACTGAGGTACAGGCAGATTAAACCAACTTGCCCAGGTTAACAGAGGAAGTCTTTTGTAGAGCAGAGATAAAATTCAAGTCTCCTGATGCCCAGTGCTATGACTTAACGACAAGACCACTTGTACGCCACGGTCTAGAACTTTAAAAGGTTACTCTAAAACCAACCTCTTCTATTCTCCATCACCTCTTGTTATCACAAAACCACCAGTCTGAATATGCCTTGTCTTGATGTCCTCTAATTACAGTAAAAGTTCTAATTTCTATATGCTTTTAAATTCAAATTTAGAATTTCAGTTCAAATTTCATTGTTGTAGACTACAGACTTGAATTTTTATGGGTTACTATAATGTGAAACAAATTAAAGATCTGAAGTGAGAGGAGCCCAAGGTTTTGTTTTGTTTAAATATTAATGACAGTCAGAGGACCCTCTAGAGAACTGAAGAACAAGTTGACAACTGCATTTATTCACCTATTAATCTCATCTAGCCAGAAACCAAACATTATTTTTAGCAACTTGTTTTCATTCCGACTTAAGTTTAATTTCTATATAGTTTGTAGATTCACATTAGAAGTCAGAATGGACAGCTTTCATTCCCCCCTTATAGGAAGATGAAAAATCACACATTAAAATCTGAGATACTTTTTAGCTATTTTAACTGGCCAACGTTTTAGGCTCTGAAAACACTGGATGAAAAAGTCAACAAAATCAGGATAATCAAACACTGATTAACTCTCCATGGTACATGGGGAGTTACACGCACAAATATTCCATTAGTTGTGAACTTAACTGCCCACATCTTCCTTTGAAAATGTACTCCCATATGTGTAGAAGAAATTGTTTTCTTTTGATCAACAAGTATTTGGCATTTACATTCTCCACTGTATAAATACTTAGTCACTTTCAAAATCTCTTACTTTTATGGTTGCATATGTAATCATGGTAACATCATGTCAGTGGCACTGACTGCTTGCTGCCTCTCAAGTGCAGTCAGCCGTGACATGAACACTGCTGCTGGTACCATGGCAGGCTATACCAGTGTGAGAGTAGGGAGAATTCTCCCACCCTAAGTATTAAAAACAAATTTAAAATTGCTTGAAGTAGGAAAAGAACCTCCATATACGTATGTGTGATTATTTTAAAGGTCCAGTGACTCAGAACTGCTTACGAGTCTGATCCCTCCACAGGCTCTTACTTAGATAAGCAAAGCAAAGGTAGGCATGTACTTCATATGTATGGGAGCCAGAGTACAAGGACACCTTATAACAGCAACAATGATAATATTGCAGCTGGCTCTCTGCACTACGCATGACAGTACTGTGGTAGCAGCAGTCAGTGCAACTATCATAATGTTAAACGGTAAGAGACACTTCCTACTCTTAAATGTAAAAGACAAGCTGAACTTTATAAGGAAATCGCACTTACAAATCACAGTTATATATCTTTCTAGAGTTGTCCTTTTCTTAAAGATTACAATTTAAACTTTACCCATCAAAGTGTCCTTTCCGACTCAGATAGATTGAGGGGAAATTCAAGGTGGCAAAAAATTGACTACTGGAAATTATCTATTTAGGAGACTATGCAATTTCTGGAAATGTTATGCATCAGGACTGTTTCAAATAGGAAGAATGATGATAGCAATACCAGTATTTATGAGCTATCATATTAACAATAAGATTTTTCAGCTAAATAGAAGTAAAGAAAATATTTTCATGAGTTTTAAAAATAAATGACCAAAATAATCATTTTTATCATTTACTGCAATACAAGAAAGCACTTATGTGCTTTTGAAAATTTCACTTTTTGATTCAATACAAGTAGGGAAAAAGTTTCAGATTCATTACACGAAGTGAAGAGATTCCTGGGGGAATTCTGCACCAAAAAATTATAAATTCTGTAAACAATATTTTAAAATTCTGCAAAATTCTGCCTATGTTAGTTGTCATAATAATACAATATACAGTTAAAGCTGTTTTATCCGGCATGTTGGGGAAATGGGGGGTGCCGGTAAGTGAAAAATGATGGTTAACGAAGAGGGAGCGAGTTTGGGTACAGGAGGGGATGCGTGGGACTGGGGTGTGAGGGAGGTGCGGAACGTGGGCTGTGGAAGGGATTTTGGCTGTGGGAGGGGGCTGGGGGCACGGGAGGGGGTGCTGGATCTGGGGGCCGCTCACCTTGGGCGGCTCCCCGCAAGCGTCAACCTGTCCCATCTGCTCCTAGGTGGAGGCGTGGCAGGCGGCTCTGCGTGCTGCATCTGCCCACAGGCGCTGCCCCGCAGCTCCCATTGGCCACGGTTCCCAGCCAACTGGAGCTGCAGAGACAGCGCTCAGGGTGGCGCCATATGCCAATATCAAGAGTTATTTGAAACGTGAGTGATATCTGCATTTTAAAGCACTTCAGAAAATAATTCTTGGTCATATATACATTGAATGGGTCAGACGTCGGCAAACTACGGCCTGCGGGACCGTCCTGCCCGGCCCCTGAGCTGCCGGCTGGGGAGCCTAGTCCCTGGCCCCTCCCCTGCTGTCCCCCCTCCCCCGCAGTCACACCACCGTGTGGGCCGCGCTGTGGCCTGCCGCTCCCGCTGGGCAGCGTGGGGAGCACAGCTGGCTCTGGCCGGGTGTTGTGGCTGCGAGCTTCTGCTGCTGGTAAGGGGGTGGGGAGTGGGGGGGAGGGGTTGAGTAAGGAAGCAGGGGTCTTGGGGGGCAGTCAGAGAGGAGGGGGTGGAGGTTCTGGGGGGGTGGTCATGGGAAGGGGAACAAGGAAGTTGGGAGTGGGAGTCCGGGGGGGGCCTGCCAGGGGGTGGGGATGTGGGGATAGGAGGGCAGTCAAGGGACAGGGAGTGGGGGGGTTGGATAAGGGGGTGGGATCCCGGGGGGCAGTTAGGGCCAGGGGGTCCAAGGAGGGGTGGTCAGGGGACAAGGAGCAGAGGGCAGTTGGATGGATTGGAGGTTCTGAGTGGGGCAGTCAGGGGGCGGGAAGTGGGAGGGGGCAGATAAGGGGCGGGGGCCAGGCTGTTTGGGGAGGCACAGCCTTCCCTACCCAGCCCTCCATACAGTTGCACAACCCCGATGTGGCCCTCGGGCCAAAAAGTTTGCCCACCCCTGGAATAGGTACATGTATCTAATTTTTGGTTTTCATGATTACAACAAAAACTACTTGAATTTTCACATTTGCTTGTCTGAATGGCAGCAGCTGCTGTAACAGCTGTTCACACTGATGTGATGCCAAGTGAAAGACCTGGTTTTGGGAACAGACTCTACCTCTCCTCCCTAAAACTAAAGGAAGGGTAGGTTCAGCCCAGAGACAATGCAATTAGTCTCAAAAGGAAAGAGGAACTCAGAATCATACACTCACAGCACTTCCTGCTGGCTCCCTGTCAGAGTAGCAATAGCTTTAGTTCCAGAAGGAACTGCTTGTGTAGTTTCGTAAAAGGAAATGAGACAAATGTGCTCTAAAGACAAATGACAGAAGTGACATAAAAAGTTTTTAAAACAGCTGTTTAACTTACCATAGATTCACTAATCAGCAACAACAATAGGGCTTCTTCTGTATTTTCTTGAGGACAAAAAATGCTGTCAAAAACAAAAACTTTAGTATTCATTAAAATAAAAGTAGAGCATATTACCCTTAAGAATGGTGTACATAACATCAAATGTTCCTATGATTATTAGTATATTTTTAATATTCAGAAAAAATGAAAATCTCTCTATATATTAGAATTTGTTTCAATGATTAATTTTATTTCAATACTTTGATTTGCCTTTAAAAAAATAAGTTGGCAAAACAGAATGAACAGAAGCACCAGACTGATCAGAGTTGAAAACAAACAGTCCAAATATCCCAAATACCATGTAATTTTGACAGCTGTAAAAAAGGCAGTATTCACAATTAAACAAACCTCCCACTCTACTTGTAAGTGTGCATGAACTGCAACCATTCATGAATAGCAACAAGGGCACATTAAAATAGATTTCCCCTCAGCTTACAAGAATAGGATATTGATTACATTTTAGCAATGTTTGGACCCCACTTGCATTCTCTCCGCATTAGATATATTTAAGATTCCTCTTACTGAGGCTGTGCTGTACAGCTCACTATTAAAACCAAAAGCCACTCCAGTTTCTGCGGACCATCACTCTCATCACTTCCTAAGCACTTAAAACATTTAGTTCCAATTACTTAATTCTGAAGGCCGCTACCAGCCTATGCAACAGATTGCAGAAAGCAGTTATCCAGACACATTTCACGAGGCCACAACTCCCCTCTGGTGCAGGGTACGGGGGTGAGGGTAAAGAAGTAAAATCTGTACCAGGTACAGAGCTAGGACCCTCCCCCTCCCTCAAAGCAAAGGGAAACCAGGCATCAAATTGTGACACAGTCACAATTTGGTCTCTGGTCTGTTCCTAGGGTAGAGCACCTATATTCTGCTCTTTACTCAGCGCTTGTGGTTACTATACAATCAAGCTTACTAATGAGCTAAATTTCTCTCACCACTAATAGACACTGCCTTATAGGTATTATGGAATCTGCTTAAACTACACTGAATTACTGAGAGGGAACTAAGAGTTGTCTAAGATTTAGACATTTTTTATTTCTTAAAGATGCCTCAAATCTAACAGGAAATTGACCATGAAACCGTGAAATCATTTTAGAGAAGTAGAAGGTTTGATCTCAAGAATAGTGCCTCTCCTCCACTCCCCCTTTTTTTAAATAGATTGGCTATTATCAAGGAAAGTCGATCTCCTCGTCTCTTTTTGGACATTAAAGTAAGGGTACAAAATCATTTCCAAGACTAACTATTTTTTATGTAATAAAGAAGTTTCAACACATAGTTAAGACTGCTGGCACTACCAAAAGCTGCCAGAAATGGAATAACGCATCTGTTAAGAAACTTGGCTTCTTTATTGCTTTAAAGAAACACTTCAGAGAGGTGATATACAAACCTATAAATATTTTAATATTTCTCTAAAAAGCTGACAGAAGAACTAAATGGGCTCCGCTCACAGAAGTCCATAGTGCTAAATGAAACAACTAGACAATAATAATAATAAAAAAAAAGGTGAGTTTTGAGATCTTAGAGTCTGAAGGCAAATATTTTAAGCTACACCCACAGTGTTAATGTGTATCTATTGATTCCCTCTCCAGTTTAATTAAATGATGGTTACTTACCTGTAACTGGAGGTTCTTTGAGATGTGTGAACCTATGTGTATTACACATGTGGGTACAAGGACACAGGCAATATAGATATTTGCAATATTGTCATTCCAAAGACTGAATCTGCAGAAGAGGTTTGGACTAAAGTATAATGCTTTGCGAAAGTGTTACAAGTGTCCAGTATAGGTACTTCTTGGAGAAATGCTACTGAGATTGCCTGTGCCCTAAAGAATGGGCTCTCACCCCATCCAGGGGAGGGAGATGGGCTAACCGATAGCAAAGGAGTATACATCCAGAAATCCACTTAGAGAGTCTCTGAGCAGATATTGCTTGTCCCCCATGCTCACTCTCCTACAACTACAAATAGTCTAGGTATTTTTCTAAATGGCTTATTTCTTCGCAAGTGGAACTCAAAGCTTGTCTGACATGGAAGAAGTGAAATGTCCTCTCCTCACTGGAGGCATGAGGTTTCAGAATCAATATCAATACAACAGATAAATTTATGTGGAACTCAGAAACAGTCTTAGGGATGAATTTCAGGTAGAGGTGAAGGGATGTGTTCTCTTTATGAAAAGTAGTGTTGGCCAGTTGGCCACAAGTGCTCCCATCTCACACACCAACTTGGCTGACGTGATGGCGATGATGGCAACTTTCACAGACCAGTGGACACCAAGCACATGGCTAACACTTCAAAGGGTGGCCTGGTAAGTACTCAAAGTATAAGACTGAAATACCACTAAAGTGCTGGCTTCACTAATGGTGGGAAGGCCTTAGTGAGGCACTTTAGGAATCTGGTTCTTATCAGGTGACTAAAAATAGAACAGCCATCTACCAGTGGGTGGAGAGCACTGATTGCTGCTAGGTGGACCTGCAGAGAGCTAACAGAAAGGCCCAGTGTCTTGAGAGTGAGGAGATTGTCTAAAATAGCAGGAATACCTGCTATCTCTGGAGATAATTGGTTTTGTTGCACCCAGGTAGAGAAAGACCTCTCTGGCTTCAAGATTAGGCTAGATAAGTTTATGGAGGGAATGGTTTGATGGGATTACGTGATTCTAATCAATTAGGCAATAACGGCCATCGCTGGTAAAATGAGGGTCTGGCTAGAGATTCTTGCCTGTATGCTCGGGGTTCTGCTGATCGCCATATTTGGGGTCGGGAAGGAATTTTCCTCCAGGGTAGATTGGCAGTGGCCCTGGAGGTTTTTCGCCTTCCTCCGCAGCATAGGGCAGGGGTCGCAAGCTGGAAGATTCTCTGCGACTTGAAGTCTTTAGATCACGATCTGGAGACTTCAACAGCAGAGTTAAGGGAAAGTGGGGGGGTCAGCTTTTGTGGCCTGCATCATGCGGGGGGTCAGACTAGATGACCATATTGGTCCCTTCTGACCTTAAAGTCTATGAGTCTATGAGTAAATGCTGCCATTTAGCTTGATGGAATTTCTGATGGAGTCTTCTCTTAAGATCATTCTGAACGGCCTCCAAACATGCTCTAGGTGTGAGGCCCATCCAAATACCAAGATGTGAGACGAAAAGAGTCTGGGTTGGAATATCTGATACCACTATTCTCCTGCGTTATCAGAGCTGGAAGATGTTGGATGTTAATGGGATAACGGGTTAACTTTCATAGGAGATCCAGAAATCAGAACTGTCTGGACCAGTTGTGTGCGTTGAGAATGACTCATATTTTATTGTGATGAATCTTCCACAGAACTTGGGGTAGTAGTGGAAAGGGAGGAAAGGTGTATCTCAGTTGGTCTGTCCAGGACAATAAAAGGGCATCACTCCAGAGTCCCAACATTGTGTGCTCTGGAGGAATTATACAGATTCATAGAAATGTAGGGCTGGAAGGGACCTTGAGAAGTCATGAAGTCCAGTCTGTTGCGCTGCGCAACAACCAAGTGAACCTAGACCATCCCCGAGACGTGTTTGTCCAACCTGTTCTTAAAAACCTCCAATGATAAGGATTCCACAACCTACCTTGGAACCCTAGTCCAGCGCTTATAGTTAGCAAGTTTTTCCTGATTTCTTATTTAAATCTCTCTTGCTGCAGATTAAGCCCATTACTTCTTGTACTACCTCCAGTGGACACAGAGAATAATTGCTCACCACCCTCTTTATAAAAACCCCTTAACGTATTTGAAAACTGTTTACAGGTCTCCCCTCAGTTTTCTTTTCTCAAGACTAAGTATGGCCAGCTCTCCCCCCGCCCCCTTGATCAGGTTTTCTAAACCTTTTATCATTTTTGTTGCTCTCCTCTGGACTCTCTCCAATTTGTCCACATCATTCCTAAAATGTGGCACCCAGAACTAGGCACACTTTTCTAATTGAATCCTCACCACTGCTGAGTAAAGTGGATAATCACCTCTCGCATCTTACATGCAACACTGCTGTTAATATACCCCAGAACACTATTAGCTTTTTCCCCTCGACTATATCACATTGTTGACTTTCATTCAATTTGTGATCCACTATAACCCCCAGATCCTTTTCAGTAGTATTACCACCTGGTCAGTTATTCCCTATTTTGCAGTTGTGCATTTGATTTTTCCTTCCTAAATGAAGTACTCTGCACTTGTCTTTAATGAATTTCAGACCAATTCTCCAATTTGTCAAAGTTGTTTTCAATTCTAATCCTGTCCTCTGTGCTTGCACCCCCCCCACACACACACGTTGATGTCATCTGCAAATTTTGTAAAAATACCCTCCACTTCATTATCCAAGGCATTAATGAAAATATTAAATGGTACCAGACCCAGGACTGACCCCTGCAGAACCCCACTAGATACACCACCTGTTTCACAGTGAACCATTGATAACTACTCTGACAACCAGTCTTTCAATTATGCACCCTCCTTACAGAAATTTCATCTAGTCCACATTTCCTAATTTACTTATGAAAATGTCATGTGGCACTGTGTCGAAAGCCTTACTAAAAATCAAGATACATCACATCTACTTCTTCCCCCCAACCACTAGGCCAGTAACCCTATAAAATAAGGAAACTAGATTGGCTTGGCATGACTGGTTCCTGACAAATCCATGTTGGGTATTCCTTATAACCATATTATCCTCTAGGTGCTTACAAACTGATTGCTTAATAATTTGTTCCAGTATCTTTCCAGGTATCGAAGTTAGGCTGACTGGTCTATATTTCCCCAAGTCCTCTTTGTTCCCCTTTTTAAAGATAAGTACTATGTTGGCCCTTTACCAGTCCTCTGGGACTTCCACCATCCTCCATGAGTTCTCAAAAATAATTGCTCACGATTGCAAGATTGCTTCAGCTGGCTCCTTAAATTCCCTAGGATGAATTTCATCAGGCCCTGCTGACTTGAAGACATCTAACATATCTAAATATTCTTTAAACTGTTCTTTCTCCCTTGTTGTCAATATTGTGTTAAGTATCTGGTCACCATTAACAGCT